CTACTAGGCCTATGTAGGTTTGCACGAATTAGAACAGAAAGGGTATGGATCATAACCATAAACAAATTATGTACTTACTCAAAACTAAACATGATTTTATTAATAATTTAAATGGATCTGTCAAAAATGTGCAAACCAGCTGTTATGGCATTAGATATTCGCGCCAGTGACGTAATTTGTGTATGTTTATCATCCATATTTTTTTTTATTCTCGTGAGACTAAGCGTAAACAATCTTGTGAATGGGGAGATTTGACCCACTGAGCTAAAATTATAACTGGAGGTAGCACTGCCATGGCAGAAGTCTGTCAAAAGCGAGTCGCTGATTTTGTTAGGTTGGTATAGCAGTAAGTTTTCTTACCATAGCAATAACATGGCTTCTTATAACTAGGTTGGTATAGCAGTGAGTATTTTTGTCATACTTGAATACTTTTAATACTTTAATAATTTTCTTTGAAATGGCGACCATACAAAGTAGGTATTTTAAGCCAAGTATAATAATAGCCATAGCAATAATATGGCTTCTTATAACTCACACCTCACGCAAACATGGCGGCTGGCGACACGCATCTTTGACATTCAGTGCTACCTCCAGTTAGAATTATAGCTCAGTGATTTGACCCCGATTATCCAATGATATGGTCTTGTTGTTGTAATCTTGTCATATAGAATTTATCTTGACGGCCGTGGATTGCAAATGCCCACATGATCTCATTGTTGCCAAAATTAACAACAACTCGCGAAACGTGGTTTCCTGAACAGCTGTTTAGTGTTGTGTAATAGCTCACTCGTTGCTGTGTTTAGTGTCTGTTAGTGGTGCATAAATGATATCCCGAGTCCCGACCTTTACTGTGTTCTAATTATTACACACGGTCGCCTTTGTGTATTTCCTTGAATAATGTTTCGCCAATCAAAAAAATTTGACTTTGTATAACGATTTGGACTGGTTTTAAGAATGGCCAAAGATTTTAGTTCAATCAATTTTTTTACTATGTAAAAACCTATGTCTGATTTTGCATAGCTAGAGAGCATATAACTAGATAGAGAGGCGGGATAAAGAGCAGATTGATAGTATGTGAACACCGACAATCCAATGGCATTCACACCCTCTTGCATTTAGTTAGATTTTGTTTGATAACTTATAGTCTGTATTATGGAACCTGTCCTCTGATCCTTGTACTACCAGAGCCAATGGTTTGAAGCTCGGGACAATCCCAGGTAGACAAAGTATCAGAAGACAGGTTCCGTCATACAGACTATAATCACAATCACTGTTCATACCGAGTGGCGCACTTATCGTTGGGCGAATATACAGCGTTAGTAAAAAGTCTGGAGACTCCCTCTAGGTCTCTATCTCAATCCAGTAAAGAATGACATTGAAATCTTTAGATATCAGAATTAACTTGTTATTTTATATTTAATTGGCTGCCATATTTTACTGTGTTAAGATAGAGACCTCTAGTTTGCGTTGATAGTTTGCTTTTATCATGACCTTCAAAAGGAGGGGTCACTCGATACGGCTTAACATTTAAAATTTTTGAGTTTTCCCCAAAATCCCCCATTTTGGGTTTGGGAACCAGGTAGAAATTAGGCTCAAAAAGTACTTCATAACGTGCCATAAAGGTGTATAGAGTTTAGTTTTCCTAGTGTGAGCCGTTACAAAATTTACTGGGGGTCTCCAGACTTGGAAAGCTGTAAGTTAAATTTAACTTCTGAGAATTTCAGTTGGCTGCCATTTTTTACTGGATTGAGATAGAGACCTCTAATTTGCGTTGTATGGGCCGTTAAAAAATTAACAGGGGGTCTCCAGACATTTTACTAACCCTGTATATATACAGTTTATCAAGCTTATGAAGAATACAGAGTGAGTGTAGAATGGATTCTAATTACTTGTTACTTGTTAATTACAGCTTTGTTACTTCCAGCTGTTTTTTTGCTCAGGGCAATTTGAACTCAACGATTCAGCAAATACATTGATAACGTCTCAATTGATGACTGCATTTCCATTTTTACCTAGATTTCCGCGAAACCCCCTTGTAAAACAATAAAACGTTCTTGTGAAAACTTTTAACGTCATCGTTATCACAGGATAGAACCATTGTTGTAGAACAAGTAGTAGATTAGTTGTCGTGTTTGGCCAATAGGCTGTGAGAAGGTGTTAACTCGGCGACATTAGCAGTGCAAGATTTAACACCTTTTGAAGAGGATAACCGAGTTATTGTAGGTGTTACAGTGGTCAGTCTGTAGTTAAATGCGAGTACAGTAGTTACCTGTGTAGTTACGAGTGGTTAGTTAAGTGTGTTAAGTGAAAATGCTACAAGTGACACGGTGATAGTGGGAACAATGTGTAAAAAACGGTCGATGATTTTTTGTAAATGTTTTACATACCATTTAATTTTCTGACACACAACACAAATAACGATCTAGATTGGAAGTGTGTTGTAGGTCCCTTTGATTTCAATTATATTAGTGGTATTAGTCCTCTTTCAAACAACTATTATAGTGGCAAAGGGTTTTTGTCAAACAACTAATTTAAACCCCCTTAGGGACAGTTTAAATATTTGCTAGCACTAAATATATTTTATTTTAAAATGTTCTTCATACTTACAACGATGAAGTAAAATACATCACAATGTAATAAGTTAACTATTTTCAGACCAATGAGATGTTACTGCAAGTACCTGTAAATTATAGTGAACCTCTTAGGGAATTTGAAATTATTTTATTCCATTACTAAAACCTCACTCGTTTACTTCCGTTTTACAACGCATCGATAAGTGTCTCTTATCTGGTGATGTTGCACAACAGTTATTGTTTTACTGGGTTTTAATCTAGTGTTTTCCATATTGTTGTCGTGTGCTTAACTAACTGGCTGGGGTGTAGTGTGTGATTTTTAAAGACGGGACCATAAATAACATATATTAATCAATAAAGTGTCTAATGCGTTTAATATTTTGCGTTCTACGTTGTGTAGACTACGTTTTCAAATCTGTAGGCTACGTTGTGTGTTTTACGTTCGACATTCTATGTTCTGTGTTTTACTTTGTGCGTTTGCAATACGGCGTACTGTGTTATGTGTTCGACCTTCTACGTAGTTTGTTATACGTTCTACGTTGTGCGTTTGAACTTCTACGTTCTTGTTTCAACGTTTTGTATGCTACGTCCATTGTAGTACGTTCTGTGGTCGACGTTCTACGCTATTTGCTGTATGGTCTACGTTCTGTGTTCGATGTTCTACGCTGTTTCCTGTACGCTCTACGCTCTGCTTGTAATCGCAATGCCCAACCTCACCGTCAACAACTCCCTGTCTGAAGAAGTTGTTCACCACAGGATCGTGGTGTTAGTGGAGAAGTGCTTCTACAACCCGGATTGCCTAAGGATATTCCGAGAAGGTGATAAATATTTTCATTTGCTTCTTTCAGAATATCGTATCTCCAACTTTATGCAAACATGAAGAAATTTGTTTGGTTGTTAAATGCTGTTATTTTAAATGCTACAGGGATTTATTTTGTCAAGCAATTCCTCTTGTTTTACATTAATGAAAATATTAGGGAGATTTAAAATAATGTGACTCTGTTCCTAAAGTTCTGAACTGGAATGTTTCATGTCCGTTTAAATGGGAACTCTTCTGTAACGGTAAAAAAATAATAGCAAAAATAGTACTGTATATTGTAAAATTATATTAATAAAAAACTAGCAGCAAGTGTGACTTCTCAACTTCAAAATCTGTTATATATTTGAATTAATTTACAATTTTCTCTTGCAAATCCTATCGAAACACAAAATCTAACAAAAGTCATTTTTTCTTTACATTTTATACAAATTACAATATTTTACTTTAATTCACTAAAACATCACCAACCGTATAACCCCATTTTCGTATGGATGTAAACAAAATTGTATTATGGCCATCTGTTTTGATGTTAACAAATGTATACTTGAAAGAGTTCAGATGATTGACAACATAATTCAGCACAAACTTTGAAATTTTAAAAGCCTGCAGGACGAAGGGCTTTCACAGGATATCATCCAAACCCCCAAAAGGGCAAAGGCACATCTAGAACATAAGAGTAAATATTTATGAGTCGATTTGCTGAAGACAAAAATCCAACTAATTCTTTTAATAATATAGATAACATCATCTAATTACTTATCTCAATTAGTTAACCTGTGTATTTATAATATCAACTAGTTAACTATGACAAACAATGGTGCGGAGCCCTAAAAGCTTCAAAATTCGAATATGCCTATCCTCTGGTATATTGACCATGTTCATGCAATATTTCAGTTTAATCGGTCCAGTTATTCCCACGTGATGTAATAACAAGCAGATTGTCACTCAAACTTGCAGCTTCCCATTCATAATGTAAGTAGGATTATCATATGATTCTTAAAAGCAGGTGAGCACTGGTGAGCTAATCTGTTATAAACATCAAAGATAGCTGCACTTCCTTCCTGATAAGACATTTCCGGGTTTGTACTTGTCAAAGTGTCTACAGAAGTTTCCCATTTACCATCAATATACATTTAAAATCAGTGAGTTTTAGCACAGAATTAAGAGAGACGTTTTCTCTGTCTTTATTAAGTAAGTGTTTGTTGACATGGTTGTTGTTAGTTGGTATTGTTGTTGCTTATTGCCATAGTTGATGTTTATTGACATGGTTGTTGTTTATTGACATGGTTGTTGTTTATTGACATGGCTGTTGTTTATTGCCATGGTTGATGTTTATTGCCATGGTTGATGTTTATTGACATTGTTGTTGTTTATTGACATGGTTGATGTTTATTGACATTGTTGTTGTTTATTGACATGGTTGATGTTTATTGACATGTTTGTTATTTATTGCCATGGTTGATGTGTATTGCCATGGTTGTTGTTTATTGCCATGGTTGATGTTTATTGCCATGGTTGATGTTTATTGACATGGTTGATGTTTATTGCCATGGTTGATGTATGTTGACGTGGTTGTTGTTTATTGACATTGTTGTTGTTTGTTTCAGTAATGTCCGGAGATTACCCTACGTCAGATGTCATAGGCACTTACACGTACAATGGCACCGGTAAGTGGCATTATTAATACAGTACCGTAGTTGTACTCTAGAATTAGAACTTATCTATAGGTCAGTAGCTTTGACCATGCTTTGCATCGGGGTATGGCCGTATGATGTTAGTATTTTGAATATGTTATAGAAAACATTTGTAGTGTCAGCACCATAGAACATAACGTAGTCTATACCACTATAATGTTTAGTCACAATTTCATGTTTTGACTATGTTTCATAATGATTTTTGTGTTTGCGTGAACACGATAACTCGAGTAATTTTGGTCAGATTTAGATTAAATTTGGTTTGGTGTTGCAGGGTGGGATAAACTTGAATGAGTTCGCGAACCAGCATGATCGGACAATGGGAACGGGGATTTATGGGGGGGGGGTGGGTGTTTAGGGGGTTAGAATTGGGTTTTCGCAGTGTTGACCCTAAAAAACATAAGGTTTTGAAATTTCTCCCCAATCCATTTTTAGGGATTAAAAAAGGAATAATTTAGTACTGTATATTGAAGCGTTGTAGTATGTCTAACGGTTACAGAGAAAATTAACACTGTTGTTGTTCACCTGTATATGGATATATGTTGATCAAATTTTTCAAATGTATTTATTTCATCATATGCTATTAACGTTTGGTTAAAAACTTTTTTTACCTTTCCCGTAGCAGCAAACCTAAGCACTCGATAAATCTAATGTTATTTAACTGGTGAATAAATTGGTCTTATTTATGGAAAAACTTTAGTAAATGTTTAACCAGACAAGTTAAAATTCGCTTAGTCTGCAGGTTTGCTGCGGCAGGGGTAAAGGTAAAGACCGTAAGTCCGTGTTTTGTTATTGCAAAAGTACAAAAGCCAGGTTTTTGGAACGCCTGCGACAATGTTGATGCAACCAGCGTTACACACAAGCGCTCTTGTTGCATTGCAAGTTTTGCAGGCACATACTATACTGTCTAGTGTACTTTGACTCTGTTTTCTCATTTGGCTGTGATTTTAAAAACACAACGACTTGCCGGAAAATAATTGTTTAAACTATAGATATACTATTTGTCAACCTAGGATTTCCAAAGGAAAGACTAATGACAGTTCATTCTGGACACATAGTACACAAGTCGATTGTGATACACAAGTTGATCAACGTTTAATATTACAGTTTTTTTGCGAAATGTTCATAATTATTGTTGTTGTTTCCAAATTGTTGAATCAATAAAATTGATATTTTGGTACACATAAATTTGTTTAGAAAATATTTTTATCTAATTAGTTAATCTATTTTGGTTCTGAAGGTGTTAGCATATACCATAGATTAAACATACTCCCTTAGGGAGTATGTTTAATCTATGGTGTTAGATATAAGCATAAGGCAATGCTGCATCTTTCGTGTTTCCATCCATACACTTCTCATCGCACACAGTTAAACCATAGACAATGGAATAAACCATTAAAGTATTATATTGTCTGTGGTTAAACTATAATGCAGCTGTCAAAAACGAAAATGGTAGAAGCAGAAACTATTTTGGTTGTATCCTAAGTTATCACAAGATGGAACCGTATAATTCTGTTGGAAAAAAGGTGATATAGAACCATGGAGGATTTTTTGTTTAAACTGTAAAATGCAGGTCTCTGAAAAACTTATAATGGCTGCGACAAGGCTGGGTTTTTTACTTCACTGAGAGCAATCGGTCAGACTATTTTAACATTAACAATAATAATTAACATTAAGAATAATAATAAACTTTACACAAATATTGATCCAATTTCAAATTATAGGTAAAGATAAAATGAAGCTAAATGGCGTGGGTCAATGTCAAGGTAAAATAATGCCTTGATATTCCCACTCAGTTTTGTGGACGCTGATGTGAACACCAGAGTTTAAAATAGTTTTTAAAATCATATAAATTAAATAGAAAGTAAATTGTTCTGAAGGTAACGTGCAGAAATCTTTGCCCTTTTGATTCAATTTCTCAACACAACAACAATTCGGTACAATTTCAATTAAATTGTAAAATTGAGTAATAATTTGTTCGTATGTAGAAAGAGTAGAATATTTATTTACTTTTTTTTAGGTATATATATATATATATATATATATTATTTATTAATTACTTAGTAGCCCTCATAAGTGAACAAGTTTACAATATATATATATATATATATATATATATATATATATATATATATATTTTATTGATTAAATTATTTATCTTATATTATTTTGTCTATTTACATAAGATTGGAACCATTTGAAAATTGTGTGTTGGTTGGTGTAGACTCCTGACCTAACTTTTGAAAAATAACAATGAAGAGAATGTAATGCATTTTTGAATATGGAAAAGAAATTATACATACCACAAATGTGGAATAATTATTGATAGGTTTCGTGGATATTTAACTTCATCGATAAAAAAAAGTATTTTGAAATATAGATGAAGCCATCCTGATAAACTGATAAAAAATTATAATCTGCGTTGTTCAAAGATAACGAGTTTATTAATGCGCCTGCAATAACACTCATGCAACAAGCGCTACATACGTGAGTTGCCACAGCATCACCTGCTTAGCAGGCGCATAGCTCTACCGAGTCTTCCATGGACCACGTACTTTTCGTTTGATTGTGATAATAATACTGTAGTTAAACATAATCACACCTTACATTCAATGAATGTAAATTCTATGACAAAATTAAACTCAGTACAATTCCAAGTATATATGAATAAGTTCGTAAGATAAGCAATTTAATCAAATTTTAATGATAAGGTCAAAAAAGTACTCTTTTCCCACAATTACACAACGTTTCGGGATGTATAAAAATCTTTCTGTTTTAATAATAAATTGATAAATTAATATCAATTAAGCTATTCACAATAACGTTTTAAAATACCCCCGCCACAGCAAACCTGCAGACTAAGCGAATTTCCATTTGCGCGTTTGGATTGTCAATTAAATCCATTTAAATAAAATTATGTTAAACAAGTAGCCTACTTAGGTTTGCTGCTACAGGGAGGGTAATAAACTGGTTTTTTTTAGTAGAATGTCAATAGCTTAGTATAAAATAAGGTAATTTGCCAAGTTTGGTCAAAATATATCCGTAAAAAAGCAAACTACATCAGTTTACTTATTCTCCGTAAGAATAGGATGGTAATTTTAAATTTACGATTTTTTGAATTTTTTCCGTGATCAATAACCGTAAAAAAACTCTTCAATATACTAAATTATTTGTTTTTTAAGCTCTCAAATTGGTACAAAGATAAATTGGGTATTTTTTTGTTTTGAGGGTCAAAAATGAGAAAACCCAATTTTTATAAGCATTTGAACGATAGTTTTTTTTTTGCCTCTGGGGACATCAAAATAAAAAAAAGTAAATCGGTCTCGGGCCCAGGTCTTACCATGAGACCTACAGTAATAGCTACTTCCATAGATTAAACATACTCCCTTAGTAAGGGAAATTCGCTAATATAAAAAAATCTTAACATAAGTATTACAGTGGATGCTATTTAGTTAAAGTTAAACTGTTCAAAATTAAAAGGAAACCAGTTCATGTGAACGTCTGCAGCATGTAGTAACGCAGTAAAATTAGTATATCCATTTATGGAATTTTAGTTATATTTTTTTAAGGGCGAGGATTGTTTAGTTAGTACACTTTATTGATGCGCCTGCATCAATGTAAAAGCGCCCGGCGTTACATAAGTGTGTTTAGATTGCACTTGTTGTTTTGCAGGCACGTAGCATTACTACTGTATTTTCTTATGCTTTTTTCTACAATCTGGGTATTTATAATAGAACTTTGGTGCACTAGTAATACAATATAACATTTTTATATACAAAATATCCACGGTATCCTATACTGTTTTAAAACACACTACAAAATCCATTTGATAACACGTAAGTTATTTATTTGCATACGTTTACTTTGTGAAACTATTTTATTAATTTCTTTCAAATATAGTTTCAACATTATTCGCAATATCGTGGTTTTATGATAAGCTATAATTCAGTCGTCCAATTCCAATTACTATCGTTATCAAAGACAAGCGTATGCCAACTGCATCACCTGTATTTTGCCGATAATGTAGTACTGTACGTCGGTAGTGCAGAACGGTCGTTGTTGTGCGCCTCTAGCGGATCTCTTTGCAACTACAGTTTTGTTAATGCCTGATAGATGTCGTACACTGCATGGTGTGGTGTACTCGTCGAGATTCAAATGATTGTTGAGTGCTATATTGTTATACAAATCGTACAAATAATATGATTTAAAACATGTTTTTTGTATTTCAATTTTTTTGAGCATTCCCATTTATCATCCGCATTTTACAATAAAAAATAGCCTACTGTAAATTTTCTTTCAGTATTTCTAAAAATCTCAAAAGGTTCTTGTAAAAGTTGTCACCTTTCATTCCAACAAAAGGCAATGAAAGAAGAATAAGAATAAGAATAAGAATGTAGCCTGAAAGACAATAAACATATTCTTATTCTTAATCTTAAACCTTTTACTTCTTTTTTTACTCTTAAACAATAAATATATCAAATTCTGGCCATAATAGCCCAAGAGTTTTCCTATTTTTTTTTTAAGTCTAATTTTTAATGCTGTTATGTTTTATTACGAGTTAAGCCCATTTTACTGTTGCTTATTTCATTATTTGACATTTTTTCTGCACCAAATTTATTTAATCCCTCCCACGTCACTGCGAGAGAACTTTATGCAATATATGAACTACAAGGTCGTGAGTAGTTCTTTACTCAAGCATTATTTGCAAGTGTGATCCAAAAGCTGCTGCGCACTCTCTCATGGTCGTGTTGTGTCTTTGTTAGCGAATTTCCCTATAGGGAAGTAGCTATTACCGTAGGTGGCACGGTACCTGGAGCCGGGATCGATATACTTTTTCAGTTTGATGTCCCTAGAGATCAAAAACACTACTCGTTAATTTTTTTATAAATATATATACGTCCGTGAACGCGATAACTAAGTATTTTTTGTCCAATTTTGATGAAATTTTTTTTTTAAGGTGTAAGGCGGGATAAACTTAAATGAGTTCGCGAACCAGCATGATCGGGCCATGGGAATGGGGTTTTACGGGGGGTTTTATGGGGTATAAAGTGGTTTTTCTAATTTTTGACCCTCAAAAGACAAAATTTCCCAATTTCTCTCTAAATATTTTTAAAAACAAATAATTTAGTATATCAAGGTGTTTTTGTACGGTTATTGGTAACGGAGAAAATAAAATAAAAAAACTTTAAATTTGAAATTCCCATGTTATTCTAATTGAGAATATCCTAAAATGTTGTAGTTTACTTTTTTATGGAAATATTTTGATCAAACTTGGCAAATGTATTTATTTTTTACTAAGCTACTAATATTTTACTAAAAACACACTTTATTAGTTTCCCTGTAGCAGCAATCCTAGATACTCGTCAAACCTAATGTTTTTTTTATAAATTTAATTGAAAATCAATTCAGGCAGATGTAAATTCGCTTAGTCTGCAGGTTTGTTGCGGCGGGGGTATTTTGTTAATAGCCGTTAGCGTTCAAAGAATCTAGGTGATGATCAAACTCGTGTCACTTTTATAGCTTTATTGACTTAAATTAGACGTTAGCATACGTACGGTATCCTACAAAAATGGACTAGGTAATGATAAAATTCGTACCACTTTAACAGTTTTTATCTACCTAAATGAGTTATCATTGTTTAATTGGCATGATGGGGTACATTTGTACAGTTTCTCTTGGGGTACCTATTTTGCTCGGCAAGTGCTCTCTACTATTTGATTTAAAATTCTGATAGATATGCATTACAGTGAAACACCAAAAACAAGACCTCGATAACAAGTCACCCTTGAAGTCTCAATTTCAAATACCTTAGATTTTAATTCCACCTAAGCGCATGCTATTGCAAACTTTGATAGGAGGTCTACCTTGATAACAAATGTTCTTTTTGGTTAGGTTTACAGTTAGTTTGATTAAATGTCAAGAAATACGTTAAGACCATTAAAACGCACGTTCAGGTAAGTCCGTACTTTATTGATACAGCTTATCCATAATGATGAACTATTAGAGAGTTAAGTCAAAGCTACTAAATAATCAAAACTATACTTCGAAACAATCTGATTGAACATGCCACTTTCAACTTTTGCCAAGGTGATTTGTTTAAGTACTTTGATAAATAATAACTCGAGCTGAGTGATTGTTGGGTCTTGGTAACCAAGCAACCCAGACCACCTCAATACAAAGCCCTGGATAACACTATTTCCTATACTGGGTAGCAGGTAGTGGTCGATACAGTAAATGGATTGTGGTGTCAGGCATTCCTTTGTCAAATACCAATTAGTTTTCCATCATAGAAAATCTACAATATCCTGTTTATTATTGTGTATGGTTAATATCATAAAAGTTTCTGTATGTCTTTAATTACTTGATGCAAAATCCACTGAACCAAACATGGTATTTTTTTTTACAACAATAATCAACGTTCTTCGGGTTTTAAGGGTGCGCTCTACCTCAGCTCGGGCTTCAGTTGCAATGTTGCACCATTGGACAGCGCCGCGAGAAGCGCTTGCAGAGGTTTCCAAGATTACTGTTTTCGAATTAACCAATAATGATAGCTACGCGCTTTTTTCAAATGTTCAAATAATGTTTTATCAATAAGTTAGGGCTAGTTGAAAAGACATTTTTTCTTTTCCTACAAATCAAGTTTATAAGGTCTGTATTAAAAATAAATGAATTAATGAAACGCAGAACTATAGAAAATTTCATCCTCTTTAATATGAGACCTTAACTTTGATTCTACCTTCAATGTAGCAGGTGAAAACAGATATCTTGCAAACCCTTGCATTTGGTTGCGCGTCAGGGGTAGAGCGCATCCTACTTCCTGTTCCGTATAGGTCTCGTACAAGGGATCTGCCCCCAATACTTACCAAATTACGACAGGTTTTGAAAATTGATATTCATCCCCCTGGATTAAATACTGTATTAAATATAAATATCATTTAACATACATGTTTATTCCCTTCTGTGTCCTCACCTCTTTGCGCAAAGTACGGTTGACTATAATTGTTATGTTATTTTTGTTATATAAAAAGGGAACTTAGTTTTAGCACGGATAATAGATCGCCAGGTTTTAGGCATCATGCTACGTTTTGAGAACAATGTAAATAGATAAAAATTAAATTAGATTATATAGGAAGTATAAGGTGAGAGAAAAGTGTATATTTAGTTAACTCAATTTCTAGCATAAGGTAAAATGTTTACTCTAAACTTTAGTAGGTATTGAAATTATTACAAAAATAATAATTTAATCTAATTGAATCCACTAATCCAGGTGCTCTACTTTTGATGATTTTTACAATATCCTATCAAGGAGCACCCAAAATATTAGTCACAAAATCGGGACCGGAATTTCAGCTTTTCTGGCAAATTGTGATAGCCATAAATTATGAGTATAAGTGAAGTTTTAAAAAAATCTTGAACCGTCTATTCTTTATTAAACTCGTAAAGTTTTTAGATATTAAATTTTTTAACCGAGCAAATGTTTGTTTTGCCTCGGTTAAATACATGTATTGTTAATTTCGAGTCATTTTATTCAATTTTACGTGGTGTTTTCCATCAATTTTGAGCAAGGATAATGTCGTATGTTTTATAACAAAATTAAATCATACTTAAGACTAGGATCATTCAAAATCAATGCAATATATTACTGTTTGCCAATTATAGACTTGCAATAATGTTTTAAATTTCATCAGGGATGGGATGGCCGCCATATTGGATTTGTTGAGAAAATATGGTCGGTCGAATGATCGTAATCTCTTATCTTCGGTTTATAATTTTGTTTACAATGAAGTTGAATTATTACGCTTACACGTTCAAATTCACTTGTATTAATTTTCACTGCCTTATAAATCAGTTTGAATTGACATAAATGAATTGATAATGAGATAACAATTACTCATGTACACTCGAAAGTGTTTGAACACGAGATCTTACAGTTTGAAATTGTTACTTCAAAATAAAGTTGATAAAATAAGGTTGATTATTTTGTATAGTGTTTAGGCACATTTCCGATTTGTTCATTACTTTGAAATAATTAGTTTAATTTGGCCCAGTTTAATGTTGCGTCTTAGAACGAACCTGAACCGATTTCAGTGGAAACTCACATATAAATAGTCTTTTTTTAAGACCCAGTTCTAGAATCACTTAACGAGATCTTATTGGGGTCCTTAAAAATACGTTCAAATTACTGCTTATAAACAAACTATCTGTTTTACAAAATTTAAACAGGCAAACCAGTTTTTTGTCTACATTTTGAAAGGATTTCATGAACAGTAGTTCACGATTCAAATTAACCTTAAAAAGACAAAAATATTTTAGTATATTAACTTTTCATTTTGTGCCTATTGGCCACTGATAAATTGAAAATGGTAAAAATTTACGTTGTCTCCAAAGTGTTATCTTTACGGAGAATATTTTATAAGATGCAGTTTGCATGTTTAATTGTAGGATTATGAAATTCAATTAGCTTCGTCAGTCAAGATCTACACAGATCATCTCATGCTTTTCTTCACACACCCTGCATTCGAACTTAGCTTAAAATACGCGTTAAAATATGTTAATTTAAATGGAAACCTTTTTTTAACGTGTACCGTGGATCAATCAATCAATTATTTAAGAACTTAAAGTTAATAACATTTTCTTATCCATACCCTCGTCCTAACTGTTAACGATTAGTAATATTTGAAAACAACAGTTAATTATGCAGTTAATGTAGTGTTTTAAATATAATTTATTTTATTTCAGATAACGAACCGGAAGAAGCGGCCGGTACACATATCGGTAAGTTTTGAAAATAAATAACACTATCCAATTAGATAGAGATGTATATTTTTATTTCTAGGGGGGAATATATCGTTGTGAATGAATTCACATTATACAAGCACCTCAAGTACTTTTTATTTTTTAATGACGATAAAGTGTATGTTATGTGATTTTAGCTAATCAATTATCGAATCCAACAAGGTGGCTGAGCTCAAACTGAAGAACATTCATAGTTTTAAGGAAATTTCATAAAGTGTATACTATTTCCCTAGCACACTGGATAATCTTTTCAGCCGACAGAGATTGTAACATGTAAAAAAATTATTACGAACTCGGGTGTATAGATATGTATGTAAGGTTAAGTTTTTATGTGATCGTTGGATTAAGTATTCTAATCTAAGACAAAGTAGACACTGGGGAGTCTACAGGTTGTCGAGTACGCCCTTAGCTATTTTGGCACGCTTCGAAAATTGTGTCCAGTATTTTCATGAGGTGTGTCCAATTCATGCCCGTCTGAGCTATTGTGTTTTTGAATGGTCTAAACCTAAACGTTCAACATTTTCAACACCAGGCCTATATATACTTGGTCTTGACCCGGTAGAGCATTAGAACCTCACAGTAAGGCAATATTTATACAAGCCTGACTGAAAAGTGTGTAAACTTCTGCCTCAAGAACAATCTCATCAATTGTGAGCACATTTGCCTTTAGATTAACTATAGAATGACCCTAAGAGGGAAGGGGTTGAAAGTTAGAGGAAAGTGAGTTGGATTTTTTTACTGGCAACATATAAAAATTTTTTAAGTCAAGTTTGAATTGACATAAAAATTACGTCCTAAACATGTGGTCTTTCCAGTTCTCTTAAATAAAGATCTGTGCCATTTGACAGTTAAAATTTGTCTGTAGTTAGTATACATACCTTTTTTATGTTTGGTAAATTGTTTTTGATTTCAGAAACCATACGTTTATAACTGAGTTAATTATGATAGCGTATAAATGCGCTGTAGCATCTCTTTTTGTTTTGACTAATAATGCTAATACATAATTTATGAAAAACTAAATAACTTGCTCATTGTTGCTTCTTATTTTAGATGTAATAAACATTTATCTTTTACCAATTATTTTTCTGACTGGTCAAATTTGTGACTAGAAAACCTGTAAATTAAAACCGGTTACTTTTCAATGACCTCTTAAACACCCAGATAACCTATTGTCAATGGAAATTTCACCCTTATTATTAGTTAGTAGTGATTATTTTAAAATGGCCGGATGGTTTGAATCCCCACTTCCATACCCAGATTGAGCATATTATGGGGTTTACAATCGACAAAGAAATCTGTTGGTGTATAACTTGACAGAGAACTAACAACATTGTTGTACAGTTGAAGGAAGCCGGAGACCAGTTTTGAAGCACACAAACACTCCCCAGATGCGTGTGTTTGGTTTAGTCGTTTCGTTAGTTTACACGCTCATCCAAAAGGAATTATAGTGGACTTTCCTATTCACCAAATTAACTCTTTCAGATATCTTTTTACATGAATTTGAGACAGAGCACAACATTTTTTGAAGTTTTGTTTGGCTAATGAATTATTAATATTCTTCGTGATTTTCCTCTTTTTCTAGACATTATGCTCATTTTAGTCCATATAATTTATGATTTACTTTGTTTCGCAATCACTACTTCGGTCTCGTTATTTTATTTAAAGTATAGCAATTTTATAGTTTAATTGTAACCTTAAGTGTTGAAATAACAAATTGTTTATTAAAAAGTCATGGATCACATTGGGGTATAAAGTAGTGATTGTGGTACCAAACTATGATAAATTTATCTTTTTCAATATTTACCTCCTTTAAAGGTCATGAAATATCTTTATCAAATCGAGACGAATCTATATCACTTCTTTACGGTTTCGTGTTTACTTTTACTTCGTAGATTGTCTTTCCTTTTGACCCCGAGTTGCTGAAAGACAAACCAATCTCGTAATTCAGAGGTGACTGCAGCCGTATCAGTTTATGCAGTCAGCTGATCAGACAAAGGTCGGAGGAATCCCTAAACACACGCGGAAGTGCGAAGCGAAGCCCCGGGAAACCTCTCAACTTCGGCCCGCTGATCAAATTTCACTATCCACACATTACCTTCAACCCTTCGTGGACTTGGTATGTGGCGGACCTGGTTTTATTGTAGTGTAATGTTGGATGTTCTACCAATGCAGCGACTGTCGAAATTCTAGGCTCAAATGAAAATACGCAGTAAAATTCGGCCACTACAGTTTTCACCGCAAAATACCGTTACCTTTCTTTTATTATGCCATTTTTTCCATTAACATTTATTTTTATTTTATTTAAAAATGTAAAATTCATAATTTGAACAGTTTTTGAAGTAGTTTCCTGGCACAATCATATCTTAAGCCGGGTTTTCCTAGGCGCGGAAGTGGAGAGCGGACTCCACTTGCCTTAGGCAATTTAATGTTACTGTTTTCCTAGAAGCGGAGCGGAACACCATGTTAATTTCTTTTCCGCTCTCCGCGTTCCTCTCTCCGCTCTCCGCTTCTGCGCCTAGGAAAACCCAGCTTTAAGGAACGCTACCAGTGAATAATCCATTCTAATGTTAAAGTTTTTGCCAGTTTTTTTTTATATAAGTAACAGTTTAGAATTGGCAGAGTGACAACAGTTTACTTGCATAGACACCAACCTTGCAAAACTAAGAGATCAACACATTGGTAACAGCCTCTTATGTCTCCTTAAAAATCGTCTATCATAATATGAAAAACTAAGAGAGAAAATATATTTTTGGTAGCAGTACTCTGTGGCAGGTTTATTATAGCTCTCGTGAACATTTATTTGGATTTAGCTTTGACTATAGATAGATATTACCATAGATTAAGGGTTTAATCGTTTAATCTTTAGTACTACCGCGAAGTATGCATTTCCAATTTATTTTATTCAGTTGAGCCAGCGACGAAGTATGCTTTTGTTAAATACTGTTTTATTAATCCTTCCCAAACGTTATATTAATGTCATGTTCCAATAAACCGCTAAAATAGTAACAGCTAAAACCAAAGAGAACAAAGAAACTACATCAGTAGCACACTCTATCAGCAGCTTATTCAATTATGTCATAATTCAGTTAAAAAACGCCTAGGCTAGTCCATATATGATTTGATGTGCCTACTTCATTTGAGAACCCCTAATTAATACAAACAATCCTACAATCCAGTTGATTTTGATGCAATAAAACACATAAAAGATATTGTTGGTGAAATAATACGGATTGCATTTGTTTTACCAATAACTGCCGATGTAACTGAACGAGTATATCATTAGTTGCAAAAGTTATAATTTCAAAGTTTGTTACAAGTCGATGGTATTACTATTCAACCATACCAAACTGATAAGAAGTTTCGTTCCGCGCGTTGCATTGGTTCAAGGTTAAAACTAATGCATAACCGTACGAAACGGACGATAGCACAATCCTAGATTAAATCCACATTTAAAATTTGTAAGAAATCATGCTATACAGGGTGTCTCAGACCACCCGGCCGGCTTGTATAGCTCCAATATGAAAGCAAATAGAAACCTAATTGCAACTGGAACCCCCTATTTTGACCCCAAGGAATTCATCTAAATTATTTTCAACCCCAAAAAAACACCACAAAGGGCAGATTTTGGGGGGTGGGGGTAGTTTTTGAGAAATTTTCAAATGTAAAGGGGGGTCGTGTTATACCTCTTTTTAAAGGTCCTTTAGTCCTGAGTATTTTAGTGGAAAAAGATTGAAATTATCTTCATCCCTATTTACAGGGTGTTCAAAAACGTACAAAAAATAGACCTTTGAACTACTTTTCACTGTAAAGAGGTGGAATTTCGTGGGGAGTTCAAATTTTGATAACACTTTAATTGCTAAATGAGCTTTCAAAAAACTCTGGTTTCAACCCTTTTGCTTTCTTTTTACTTATGTTACGCATTTTCAAACTTTTTGAAGTTTCAAGAGCTGTTATCTCAAAAATTTCAAATGGCAACATGGGTTTCATTACAAACCACATTGTAGCCCTTAAAATTTGCTATAATTTTTGTATTTAATGTTTTTTGGTATCTTCATTGGTTAAAAAGATATAACAAAATTAGTGTATTTTAATGTTTTATTAAATGGTATTCAAAGTGTTTGCTGTTGCAAATGTACACCTCTAGGTCTCAATTTAAACAAATATTGTCTAAAAAAATAAAATAGTACTCAGATTGTTGATCTTGGAAGATTGATAAAGGTAAGAACACAACTGCAAATATTCTTAGTTATTTTACAATTCCATGGCTCTAATAGTGCTTTGAATGAATAATTTGTTTGAATCAGCATTAATAGCCTACATACCGATGGACTTCTACAAATGCTTAAATTGCCTTCCATTTTGTTCCATGCAAACCCCAACTCTGTTTATGCACGTAGTACTTCTTCTCCACTATTATGGTACTGTATTGCTATTTTACTACCGCAGGTGCATTCACCTCTCGTACAGATCCAGTAAGTTCCTTATAATTTGTTTTATCTGATCAAACGTGACCAGTTTCACGCACACGCTCATTGATTTCATGATGATTTTTTTTATTTACCAGTAGCATTTATAGACAGTATTCATTCAAAGCACTATTCGAATTTTGTAAATTGTAAAATAACTAAGAATATTTGCAGTTGTGTTTTTTCCTTTATTAATCCTCCAAGTTTAACAATCTGGGTAGTATTTAAATTTTTAAACATAATTAGTTTTAATTGAGACATAGACGTGTACATTTACAACAGCAAACACTTTGAATACCATTTAATAAAACATTAAAATACACTAATTTCGCTATATCTCTTACACCAATGAAGATACCAAAAAACATTAAATACAAAAATTATAGCAAATTTCAAGGGCTACAATGTGGTTTGTAATAAAACCCATGTTGCCATTTGAAATTTTTGAGATAACAGCTTTTGAAACTTCAAAAAGTTTGAAAATGCGTAACATAAGTAAAAAGATAGCAAAAG